CTGTATTGATCAGTGGACGAGGCGTTTTGTTCACAATAATTTCCGCCATTCTGGCTGGCATTGACAAAACCGAGGGCAAAGCGAATATATTCCACTGGATCAGGTTTAACAACAGCCTACAGTTCCTTGCCGTTTTGTCTCTATTTCTGTATATAAATCAAGAAACCGAGATAGAATATATAGCATCAGCGTATATATGTGTTTGACCTGCACTCTCAGCCATAAAGTTAGTATCTCGCCCAATCTGCCTGTCAGTTGGATAACCGAAGGTTAAGGATATAGTTTCATTTAAATTTCAATCGAAATATCGAAGAAATCTCCAGAAACATCTAATTTATTCTCGATTTTGTCAAGAAACTATAGTAAATCTATGTATTTTGTTTTGATGACTTCCCGGTTTGACGTCACGCCGGCATTCTCGGCCCCAGTACTTTTATGCTGGCGGCCAAACGCTCAAAATAGGCAAAATCTCCAACTTTGAGCCCCCGAAAGTCCATGAAGATCAAATTTTCGAATTATAAAATATATTGCAAAAGTTCTTAAAATCATCTAAACTATCTAAATAGGCTGATTCCCAAACTATGACATAGGCACTTTAAATCATTTTCGCTATTTCTGAGATTATAGATATTTTGTGTCACATTCCTTTTGTGAAGAGATTCTTTTAGACCCGGGGCAGCGTGGTCATTTAGCACTTTGTAGATAAACGCAGCCTTGGACTTATTTCTTCTATTAGCAAGTGTTTCCCAAGACAGGGTATTAAGAATGTCAAGTGACCTTACATCGTAAGTGGCACCAGTTATTACCCTTGCTGCGCGAGACTGAAATTTTTGTAGTTTGTCTTGGAGCAATTTACCACAGTTTCCCCATAGGGTGGAACAATAGTTAAAATATGGCTGCACTAGTGCTTTATATATGGTTTGCAGTGTATTAATATCAACGTACGGTTTAGCGCGTTTAATAGCCCCAATACCGGCACTTGCCTTTTTACATATTTTATTAATATGTTTTTCCCAGCTCAAATTTTCATCAATTTCTACTCCTAAGCTTTCAAAAGAATGAGTTATTGTGTTTTATTGTTGTATTATGTCACTCAAAAGGACCAATATTTCTGTTAACCAGTCTTCCTTTTAACAAAAGACCGGTTTTGGTTTCGTTCGAATCATTTCGAGTTATGCAATCTTATGCGTGTTGGACGTAAAAATATCAATTATTGGACGAGGTTGAACAAAATATCGTGATTTCTCTGTAGGCGGTGGCGAGCAGATCAATTATTTGTATAGCTAGAGACGTTGTGTTAGGGCTTTTTACAACGGCAAACCAGATATTTTCACGTCTTGTGTACAACGCAAATATGGCAAAATGTGACAAATGAAACTACAAGTTTGCTCTGCAGCAGAAGCGTTTTTAACCATAAAGCCTTTGTTTTAAACTTCTCAAACTGAACTCAATTCGTATATACATGCACGAGATAGTACAGAAGAACTGCTCTTCGCAATAATTTATTTGAAGAAGCTGTTCTGGCTGTCGTCATCACGTTGCCGCCGTACATGCTTAAAATTAAGGTCCCCGGTAGCGGCAACGCCGGCGAGAGCCAGTGTGCCACTGAACTATAAATGTCTGTATTAATGATCAAGTGTTTGTAGTGAAGTATGTTATTTTAATAGCAGAAATTTCTGTACTCAGTGTAATCTGTAGTCAGTAATTTCAGTTCGTATTGTTTCCGAGACATTTTATAATCAGTCATTCCAAGCTTTTGTCAAACTATTGGTATTTCTCATTCTCACTTATGCAGTTATGGTATTTCTTTAATAAACTGTAAAATATTATATTTAATAGCGACAAATATTTAGATGTCGCCATGTCGACTATTAATAGTTCTGTTTGCATATTATTACTGTAAAGTCAGCAGACAGCATCTTCTGGAGCGCGTGACCAGCAGGCAGTCGACTTGAATTCTGGCCTCAAGTTTTTTCATTGGTTTTCTAAATCTGGAAATGATATCTCGAATGTCATATGACAACAATTTCTTGCAAGCTGTTCATTTTTGTTTCATTTCGATTTTCCGAAGGCGGTTTATTTTGTTTTGTATTAAATGTACAACGAAAAATGGGTGGAAAATTGAATTAAATTCCATTCAAAGAATTAAGTCATGGAAAATTATCCATGCGAAAACAAGAAAGTTTACTGTCGTGGCTTGTAATAAAAACAAACGCCAAACAACTTCCTTTTAGTTCCTATTTCATACATTAATCATTATGCGAATCAACATAAATCTTAATTATCATTTGCCATATCAACTTTGCACTATTCTTGGAATCTCTGAGTTACTTGTAATTACAAATTCCTAGAACAACATTATACGGCGTATAATTTATAGCATCGTTCTTAATTAAACATCCATTTCATAATTTTGTGGGGCAAACTAAATAGGAACGAGAAATGTGTGTGAATATGAACGCTGCGTCACGAGCTCTATGCCTTTATCATAATAATTAGTTGTTCAAGCTAAGAGTCATTAGCATAGTAAACTATAACTGTAAAAGATTCATTGTAGGCGAAAATATAAAGTTTAGTTCCTGCTATGCCTTGCTATATTGTAAGATAACGTATAGCTTTTATTTATTATATTTTGATTTGAACAAAACGCCTGCAGAATAGACTCAATCTGAATTTCAAGAATATCATACAAACACCTTGAATACTTTCTCATTCGAAATCTCTGCGTGTACATCCTAAGCCAATGTCGACAATTGAGCAATTTTGTTTCAATCGTCGGTAAACAAATTGTGAAACATTCTTTCTCATAATTATATACAGTATATTGCTTAGGTTATATTTTAAAAACACTAATAAATTAGACTTACCAGTATATGTTGAACTGAACTTGGTTTAAACACCTGCGATTGTTAAGTTGTATACGAGTGCACGTCACTAGTACGTTTGTGCAAGAACGTGGCTAACTTTGAACTTTATAACCGAGGGAATGGGGAATCCTACGTTTGTGCAAGAACGTGGCTAATTTTAGAATTTAAAACCGAAGGAATGGGGAATCCTGTGGAATCTCGTTTACGTCATACGTTTGTGCAAGAACATGGCTAAATTTAAAACCAACGGAATGGGAATCCCGGTGAATACGGCCGGAATCGCATGGGGAAAAATTCCCGACATGATTGGGCATGTCCCTAATGAACAAAATTTTGATCTGGACAAACATCAAAATGTTCACTGACGACGTGCGTACCAGTTCTCAAAATAACTTGTGGTGTTTAAATCCACATGGAAATGGTAAAAATTGCGAAGAAATGACTGTGCATGCAGTATATAGTCGCGTTGGTGGTTCAGTGGTAGAATTCTCGCCTGCAACGCGGGAGACATCGAGACAAACTTTTCACCACAGCTTGAAAGAGCATCACAAAATCAGTAGCCTAATATTCCAACGCCAACGTTTCGTTGCGAAATGTTGTAAAATGCGGATAATATATAGCCATGCGAAGTTTGCCGCTTTTCAGTCATTTTGTATTATTACATTTATAAATTTCCCGCGCGTAATAGCCTAGAAAATGACTAAAAAACGGCAAACTTCGCAGGTCTATATTATCCGCATTTTACAACATTTCGCAACTAAACTTCGGAATATTACTAATTTTGTGATGTTGTCCTCCATGGTCTCAGACCCATGCAGCAAGACTGACGTATGCTTATGATCTATTATAGATGTACTAGAAATACATGCATGCAGCAACTCCTCGCATGTATTTTCCAAGCATTTATTCAGTAACATATTAGTAATTGATCAGCACTGAAGGCAGGCTCGCGTTTACGTCAGTGTTGCCAATGGCATTATATTTTTCGTACAACACGGCAAAACTAGATGAAAGATTATCGTTTTCTATATATATGTAAAAACTCATTAATAATTCATGAAGAAAACACAAAAGAAAAATCATAAGCGTGTCGTATCTGCATATGTGATACAGATTCATGTTGATTTACATAAACTTTAACTTTGATTTTCTCGGCTTAGACAACGGTTATTTTTAAAATTACTTCGTCAATTAACTCATCAGATAAGTCGTTTTTTATGCCATTCGCGTCCGTGTTGTATCGGATATACAAACTCTCGCCTTCGGCTCGAGTTTGTAAATTCGATACAACACGGCCGCTCATGTTGTAAATAGTACATATATATTGCCCGAAGATCGTCTTGAATAAGGCTGGTTTTTACACCATTGTTAAGTTCATTTATTTACTTTTCAAATGACATGTTGTACGCGTCATTTAGTTGGAAAATGAAGCAGTATTCCTTTGACAAAAAAGTCCATAAAAATCACAATTTTCCACCGATGGGAATTGGTCATTTTTTCTCTCAAAGTTAGTCCCACAAGGCTTTGAAATGCTAATTGTTACTGAAAACTAAAATGCAAATTTAACGCAAATTTCTTCTTGTTCAACATGTTGAAGGCATAAGAGCTTAAATCTCTTTAAATGAACACGAATTTATGTAAATTTTGCTACATAACAGTTTGTTGATTAATTAAATTTGCATTATCTTTTGTCTGTACGTCTCACTTCGAATTCCCATCGGCGGAAAAATTTGATTTCGAGCAACCAGTTTTAACCATAGATATCTTATATACACTAGATAGCGCATCTCTTTCAGTAAAATTGAAGCCAAGAATATTCCAGCGGTTACCCCCATTTGAATAGATGGCGGCCATGTTGGTCGTTCCCACTTGCTAATAAACGCTTAAAAACAACAATGACTTTCATCATTTGAATATTTTAAAAACGAATTTGGAATAGGGTTAACTTAATGTTTAAGTTCCCTGTTTAAGAAATAGAAAACAGACGAATCTTCTAATTTCATGGGAACGACCCGAGACTGCAATCACGGCTTCAATTTTTAAATTGCAGAATAATTAGATGCACTATCTAGTGTATATAAGATATCTATGGTTTTAACACACGATTTCTTGGTCATTTTTGGTCTTATTGATATAAGAACGATATAATCGGAAACCAAATAAGCTATTCTTTATTGTCATATACAAATTATATGGTTTACTTTAGTATTTTGTAAACAGCAGTCTGTCAAATTTGCATGAATTCGAATTATTTTGATACACACTGTATATACACGGGCGAAGAAGATAATATTAACTAAAGAGTAAAGTTACAATATTTTCGTGCAAACCATGGAGTTGTTGTTCTCCACGCGCGCATGCACTTGCAAAATATTTGTAATTTGACATACTTTACTATACTTATATACGAGGTACACTTTGCGAAAGAAAATTTCCCAGAACAACATCTGTTGAGCCTTCCGGGATTGAAAATAAATGAGAACACATAACTATGGCATTGGTCTTCAATAAACATCCGTCCTTTACAATACTTCAAGGAAACCATGCCATTTTTATGTGGCGAACTATCCCGTGACATTTCCAGGAACACAAATTCCCAGAACAACATTACGCCTTCAATGATTGATAAATGAAAGCACATAATTTATAGCATCGTTCTTAATTAAACATCCATTTCATAATTTTGTGGGGCAAACTAAAGAGGAACCAGAAATCAGTGTGAATATGATCGCTGCATCACCAGCTCTATAATGCCTTTATCATACGAATTAGTTGCTCAAGTTAGTAAGAGTCATCAGCATAGTAAATTACACTGTAAAAGACTAACTGTAAGCGAAAATATAAAGTTTAGTTTCTGCTCTATCTTGTTATATTGTAAGTTAACGCTATATCTTTTATTTATTATATTTTTATTTGAATAAAATGCCTGAAAATATCATACAAAAATGTTGAATACTTTCTCTTTCGAAATCTCTGCTTGTACATCCTAAGCCAATGCCACTGAGCAATTTTGTTTCAATTGTCGGTAAACAAATTGTGAAACATTCTTCTCATAATTATATGTTGCTTAGGTTATATTTAAAAACACTAATAAATGAGACTTACCAGTACAGGTTGAACTGAACTTGGTGAGTGTTAAGTTGTGCGAGTGTACGTCATATAGCTACGTTTGTGCAAGAACGTGGCTAACTTTAAAATTTATAATCGAGGGAAGGGGAATCCTGTGCAATCTCGTGCATCATACGTGCAAGAACGTGGCTAATTTTAAAATTTAAAACCGAGGGAATTCGAATGGGGAATCCCGTGTAATCCCGTGTACGTCATACGTTTGTGCAAGAACGTGGCTAACTTTAAAATTTAAATCAAGGAATGGGGAATCCTGGAATCCGGCCGGAATCGCATGGGCAGAAATCACGGACATGATTATTCTACCTCCATACTAACTTTGCATGTCATTAAAGTGCTACTGCAGGGAAATTTTCAACCCTTATTTTTTTAGCTTAATTAAAAGTGCTTTCCTTCCTGACCTGTTTACCACAAGCATAATTAATATTGGTCAATTCAAACCGATTTTATAGCCTTCTAAAATAGCCAGTTGCATGGCACTTCCTTTGCGAACGTTTGATCCGCCATGTTGATGGCATGTGGTGTCATGAGATGAACATGATTTCATCATGGCGTATTAAAATTATAGTAAAACCAACAAACGCGGAGATGAAGGCCGTGTTTTTGGCAGTTTTAACTTTGATTATTGCACCAATTTTGAACAGCCTGAAGGAATACCAATGTATCTATATCCCAACAAAAGAACAGATCCACGAGTGAAAGGAAGTTCGCAAATTTTGTCCGTAAACATTGACCGGGTTTTCACGCATCTGTGAACCAAGTGCCAAAAAAGGAAAATTTTACGAAATTTTCGGGGTGGGCCTTTGATTGAGCCTAAATGACGCGTATATAGTTAGTCTAAAGTGTTTAACATTTCTTATGTTTTAGATCACTTGTGGTTATGAAAAGAATATCTCCTGTTAAGTTAGTTTCTTGCCCAGAGCATCTTGAGATAGAATTATCAAAGACACCAATTCAGCATGCCTTGACCTAGTTTGGTTTTGAAAGACTTGTAGTTGTATTAAGGACAGTTTTATTAAAATCGACAAGAGATTAAAAGAAACGATGCCATTGGAGTTGTATATTCAGTTATATTAATAAATACATATTGCATAGTATAAAGTAACAATAAATATAATACAATAGTATAATATTGTACTGGTAGGCTGTTATGTGAGGTAGGGCTGGTAAGCTGTTATGTAAGGGAATGGGGAATCCTACGCTTGTGCAAGAACGTGGCTAATTTTAGAATTTAAAACCGAGGGGAATCCTGTGGAATCTCGTTTACGTCATACGTTTGTGCAAGAACATGGCTAAATTTAAAACCAACGGAATGGGAATCCCGGGAAATACGGCCGGAATCGCATGGGGAAAAATTCCCGACATGATTGGGCATGTCCCTAATGAACAAAATTTTGATGTGGACAAACATCAAAATGTTCACTGACGACTTGTGTACCAGTTCTCAAAATAACTTGTGGTGTTTAAATCCACATGGAAATGGTAAAAATTGCGAAGAAATGACTGTGCATGCAGTATATAGTCGCGTTGGTGGTTCAGTGGTAGAATTCTCGCCTGCAACGCGGGAGACATCGAGACAAACTTTTCACCACAGCTTGAAAGAGCATCACAAAATTAGTAGCCTAATATTCCAACGCCAACGTTTCGTTGCGAAATGTTGTAAATTGCGGATAATATATAGCCATGCGAAGTTTGTCGCTTTTCAGTCGTTTTGTTTTATTACATTGATAAATTTCCCGCGCGTAATAGCCTAGAAAATGACTAAAAAACGGCAAACTTCGCAGGGCTATATTATCCGCATTTTACAACATTTCGCAACTAAACCGTTCGGAATATTACTAATTTTGTGATGTTGTCCTCCATGGTCTCAGACCCATACAGCAAGACTGACTTATACTTATGATCTATTATAGATGTACTAGAAATACATGCATGCAGCAACTCCTCGCATGTATTTTCCAAGGGTGGGTAGTAGCGAAGTAGTTGTAGTTCGCTACTGTAGCGAACTACAATTTTCAAGTAGCCAGTAGTTTCTGACTCCTTTTTTAAAACAGTAGTTGTAGTTATAGCGAACTACATTTTGCCTAAAAGTAGCCAAGTAGTTGACTACTTTTCAAACAGCGAATCGCTATTCGCTACTTTTCAAAATTGTTAGCAACCGTTCATAGAATAGAATAATATTAAGACACGGTTTGCTTAAAAGATTATTTTATACAGTAAAGATTATTTTAGCGCAATGAAAAGTGGCACTCCTGAACACTGTAGTGCTTATAAAAATGTTGCTTTGACCCTTTTTGTTTACTGTAGCTACTCGTAAGTCGATTTGTTGTAAGTTATATTACAGCCTGAGCTAGTGGATGCTCCAAATACCGTAAAACTAAAAAATATAGAGTAGCGAAATAGCGAAATAGTTCGCTACATTTTTTAAGCAGTAGCTGTAGTCAGTAGCGAACTACCTTTGTTCAAAAGTAGCAGTAGTTGTAGCTGACTACATATTTTTAAAGTAGCTGTAGTTATAGCGAACTACAAAAATTTTGTAGTCAACCCACCCTTGGTATTTTCCAAACATTTATTTAACATATTAGTAATTGATCAACACTGAAGGCAGGCTCGCGTTTACGTCAGTGTTGCCAATGGCATTATATTTTTCGTACAACACGGCAAAACTAGATGAAAGATTATTGTTTTCTATATATATTTAAAAAACTCACTAATAATTCATGAAGAAAACACAAAAGAAAAATCATAAGCGTGTCGTATATCTGCATGTGTGATACAGATTCATGTTGATTTACATAAACTTTAACTTTGATTTTCTCGGCTTAGACAACGTTTACTTTTAAAATTACTTCGTCAATTTACTCATCAGATAAGTCGTTTTTTAAGCCATTCGCGTCCGTGTTGTATCGGATAAACAAACTCTCGCCTTCGGCTCGAGTTTGTATATTCGATACAACACGGTCGCTCATGTTGTAAGGCTGGTTTTTACACCATTGTTAAGTTAATTTATTTACTTTTCAAATGACATGTTGTACGCGTCATTTAGTTGGAAAAAGAAGGAGTATTGCTTTGACAAAAAAAGTCCATAAAAATCACAATTTTCCGCCGATGGGAATTGGTCATTTTTTCTTTCAAAGTTAGTCCCACAAGGCTTTGAAATGCTAATTATCACTGAAAACTAAAAGGCAAATTTAACGCAAATTTCTTCTTGTTCAACATGTTGATGGCATAAGAGCTTAAATCTCTTTAAATGAACACGAATTTATGTAAATTTTGCTACATAACAGTTTGTTGATTAATTAAATTTGCATTATCTTTTGTCTGTACGTCTCACTTCGAATTCCCATCGGCGGAAAACTTTGATTTCGAGCAACCAGTTTTAACACACGATTTCTTGGTCATTTTTGGTCTTATTGATATAAGAACGATATAATCGGAAACCTACTAAGCTATTTTTTATTGTCATATACAAATTATATGGTTTACTTTAGTATTTTGTAAACAGCAGTCTGTCAAATTTGAATTCGAATTATTTTGATACACACTGTATATACACGGGCGAAGAAGATAATATTAACTAAAGAGTAAAGTTACAATATTTTCGTGCAAACCATGGAGTTGTTGTTCTCCACGCGCGCATGCACTTGCAAAATATTTGTAATTTTACATACTTTACTATACTTATATACGAGGTACACTTTGCGAAAGAAAATTTCCCAGAACAACATCTGTTGAGCCTTCCAGGATTAAAAATAAATGAGAACACATAACTATGGCATTGGTCTTCAATAAACATCCGTCCTTTACAATACTTCAAGGAAACCATGCCATTTTTATGTGGCGAACTATCCCGTGACATTTCCAGGAACACAAATTCCCACAACAAATTACGCCTTAAATGATTGATAAATGAAAGCACATAATTTATAGCATCGTTCTTAATTAAACATCCATTTCATAATTTTGTGGGGCAAACTAAAGAGGAACCAGAAATCAGTGTGAATATGATCGCTGCATCACGAGCTCTATAATGCCTTTATCATACGAATTAGTTGCTCAAGTTAGTAAGAGTCATCAGCATAGTAAATTACACTGTAAAAGACTAACTGTAAGCGAAAATATAAAGTTTATTTCCTGCTGTATCTTGTTATATTGTAAGTTAGCGCTATATCTTTTATTTATTATATTTTATTTGAATAAAATGCCTGAAAAATATCATACAAAAATGTTGAATACTTTCTCTTTCGAAATCTCTGCTTGTACATCCTAAGCCAATGCCACTGAGCAATTTTGTTTCAATTGTCGGTAAACAAATTGTGAAACATTCTTCTCATAATTATATGTTGCTTAGGTTATATTTAAAAACACTAATAAATGAGACTTAGCAGTACAGGTTGACCTAAACTTGGTGAGTGTTAAGTTGTACGAGTGTACGTCATATAGCTACGTTTGTGCAAGAACGTGGCTAACTTTAAAATTCATAATCGAGGGAAAGGGGAATCCTGTGGAATCTCGTGTACATCATACGTTTGTGCAAGAACGTGGCTAATTTTAAAATTTAAAACCGAGGGAATTCGAATGGGGAATCCCGTGTAATCCCGTGTACGTCATACGTTTGTGCAAGAACGTGGTTAACTTTAAAATTTAAATCAAGGAATGGGGAATCCTGGAATCCGGCCGGAATCGCATGGGCAGAAATCACGGACATGATTATTCTACCTCCATACTAACTTTGCATGTCATTAAAGTGCTACTGCAGCGAAATTTTCAACCTTCATTTTTTTAGCTTAATTAAAAGTGCTTTCCTTCCTGACCTGTTTACCACAAGCATAATTAAAATTGGTCAATTCAAACCGATTTTATAGCCTTCCAAAATAGCCAGTTGCATGGCACTTCCTTTGCGAACGTTTGATCCGCCATGTTGATGGCATGTGGTGTCATGAGATGAACATGATTTCATCATGGCGTATTAAAATTATAGTGAAACCAACAAACGCGGAGATGAAGGCCGTGTTTTTGGCAGTTTTAACTTTGATTATTGCACCAATTTTGAACAGCCTGAAGGAATACCAATGTATCTATATCCCAACAAAAGAACAGATCCACGAGTGAAAGGAAGTTCGCAAATTTTGTCCGTAAACATTGACCGGGTTTTCACGCATCTGTGAACCAAGTGCCAAAAAATGAAAATTTTACGAAATTTTCGGGGTGGGCCTTTGATTGAGCCTAAATGACGCGTATATAGTTAGTCTAAAGTGTTTAACATTTCTTATGTTTTAGATCACTTGCGGTTATAAAAATAATATCTCCTGTTAAGTTAGTTTCTTGCCCAGAGCATCTTGAGATAGAATAATCAAAGACATCAATTCAGCATGCCTTGACCTAGTTTGGTTTTGAAAGACTTGTAGTTGTATTAAGGACAGTTTTATTAAAATCGACAAGAGATTAAAAGAAACGATGCCATTGGAGTTGTATATTCAGTTATATTAATAAATACATATTGCATAATATAAAGTAACAATAAGTATAATACAATAGTATAATATTGTACCGGTAGGCTGTTATGTGAGGTAGGGCTGGTAAGCTGTTATGTAAGGGAATGGGGAATCCTACGTTTGTGCAAGAACGTGGCTAATTTTAGAATTTAAAACCGAGGGAATGGGAAATCCTGTGGAATCTCGTTTACGTCATACGTTTGTGCAAGAACATGGCTAAATTTAAAACCAACGGAATGGGAATCCCGGGAAATACGGCCGGAATCGCATGGGGAAAAATTCCCGACATGATTGGGCATGTCCCTAATGAACAAAATTTTGATGTGGACAAACATCAAAATGTTCACTGACGACGTGTGTACCAGTTCTCAAAATAACTTGTGGTGTTTAAATCCACATGGAAATGGTAAAAATTGCGAAGAAATGACTGTGCATGCAGTATATAGTCGCGTTGGTGGTTCAGTGGTAGAATTCTCGCCTGCAACGCGGGAGACATCGAGACAAACTTTTCACCACAGCTTGAAAGAGCATCACAAAATTAGTAGTCTAATATTCCAACGCCAACGTTTCGTTGCGAAATGTTGTAAAATGCGGATAATATATAGCCATGCGAAGTTTGCCGCTTTTCAGTCATTTTGTATTATTACATTTATAAATTTCCCGCGCGTAATAGCCTAGAAAATGACTAAAAAACGGCAAACTTCGCAGGGCTATATTATCCGCATTTTACAACATTTCGCAACTAAACCGTTCGGAATATTACTAATTTTGTGATGTTGTCCTCCATGGTCTCAGACCCATACAGCAAGACTGACTTATGCTTATGATCTATTATAGATGTACTAGAAATACATGCATGCAGCAACTCCTCGGATGTATTTTCCAAACATATTAGTAATTGATCAACACTGAAGGCAGGCTCGCGTTTACGTCAGTGTTGCCAATGGCATTATATTTTTCGTACAACACGGCAAAACTAGATGAAATATTATTGTTTTATATATATATATCTAAAAAACTCATTAATAATTCATGAAGAAAACACAAAAGAAAAATCATAAGCGTGTCGTATCTGCATATGTGATACAGATTCATGTTGATTTATATAAACTTTAACTTTCATTTTCTCGGCTTAGACGTCAACGTTTATTTTTAAAATTACTTCGCCAATTAACTCATCAGATAAGTCGTTTTTTAAGTCATTCGTGGCCGTGTTGTATCGGATATAAATCATGCTGAAAGCCCGAGCAGTTTTCGCGCATGCTCAGTCAATTTTCCCACCTGTTGATGAAACGCCGAAAATCTTTCGTCCGATGTGCACCGCAACCACAGGGGGCCCCACTATGAGTTATGATTGAAATAATATTGTATTTATTTTTAAAAACCTACTTGAATCCCTTGATAATCGATTATTTCTTCTCTCGAAAATCTGTAAACATTTTAAACTGCTTGAATCATTATACTATCACTCTACATGAAGTATAGATGATCGCTGACAAGTAAGGACCGCGGGCGCGAAAAGACGAAGGCGGCGAAAGAAGGAAGAATTAAACTAAAGGGTTGAAACTTCGGCTGGTCATCGTTTGATGTGTTCCATAAGTAGGTTGTTCTGCGGAAATTTCGCACGGGGCCCCAATGTGAGTTAGGATTGAAAAAATATTGTATTTATTTTTAAAAACTTACTTGAATCCCTTGATCATCCATTATTTCTTCTCTCGAAGTTCTGTAAACCTTTTAAATGGCTCGGACTCATTATACTTGACGTCACGAGAACAACCTACTTATGGAATACATTGTGCGAAAAAACCCTTCGAGTGTTTCATGTAAAAACATACGAAAAATCAATCGTTTATCGAATCTACTACATCAGTTGTGAAGATATATCCAAAAAGACATAGAATCTGAAAAAAAATATTCGAAAACACAAATACATTGTGAATTTTAAGGCATTTAGAAATGTCATCTAGTCGAAGTTTCAACCCTATAGTTTAATTCTTCCTTCTTTCGCAGGGCTCTCGCTTCCAGCTACAGTCATTTCCTTAAATTTACACTGAAATTTCCTTAGAATTGAAAAAATTTCCTTAAAACCGGAAGTGGCAATAAAATTGGTGGGAAATCACAAAATATTGTTGTTTTCGATTTAGAAGTTTTTAGAAATATAAAAAGGCAGTTGACTTTGACGTTGAATTCATGTTAACTTGTTTTGTTTACGCGCAGGACACGCTTGTCCCAAGAGAAATAAATGTCTTATAACGATAGTGATTTGCTTTTCTGGAAAAAAATACAAAATAAAGTGTTGTTTGGATGTAATCTTTTACGAATGTAAGTGATTATGTAAAATATTATGAATGTCAAAGAATTTCCTTAAAATTTCCTTAAAAAATTCGTTTCCTTAAAAATTTCCCTAAACTGGTTCAAATTTCCTCAGTTTAAGGAAATTTCCTTAAAAGTGAGAACGCTGTTCTTTCGCCGCCTTCGACTTTTCGCGCCCGCGGTCCTTACTTGTCAGCGATCATCTATACTTCATGAAACGTCATGCGGAGTGATAGTATAATGACTCCAAGCAGTTTAAAATGTTTACAGAATTTCGAGAGAAGAAATAATCGATTATCAAGGGATTCAAGTACGTTTCTAAAAATAAATACAATATTATTTCAATCATAACTCATAGTGGGGCCCCTTGTGCCGCAACCACAACGTGTCCTCGTTTTTTATGCAAAAATATGCAGTTTACTGGCCAGAAGGCGGAGCAGCCAGCCAGTACAGCGTGTTTATTGGCCAGAAAATGTCATTGACTGGCTAGGAAAATTGCGGTCAACATGCGTAATGCGACATGCACGAGGACAGAAACTTCAAAGTTTCCGACGTAAGTGGCCCTTCTGTATGCATCTTTATTCTATGCCGAACAACTGGTGACGGAAGTTAAATCGACATTGTAACCAGAAGTTAAAGGAAAATTGACTTTTCATCTTCGAAACATTTTAATCGAATTAACGTGGAAGTCAAGTTTGTTCTGGGCATCGGTTCTGCTCATAACAATGTGAGGACGTCTAATGTGAACATTGGCCAAATTTCGAATGTCTCGATTTTTTTATCACAAACTCTATTTCATATTCATTTAGAAGCATAGCGAACCAAAATGGTGTGAGATATTCAGACAGTAGATCATATTTAAAAAAATACAGCAGTTCAAAATGTAAACAAACCGTTTGCTTACATTACGGACTTGACTTCCACTTTAATAATTTGAATAACAATAACAAATTTTAAAAAATATTGCGAAATTCAAACTCAAATATAGAACGTTTTGGTACTAGAAGAAATGCGAATCACCCCTTTCAAAAGCAACACACGCTCTTGTATCTAGATGGTATAAAGCTTTTCAATAATTTTAAAACAATTGTTCTTGAATCAATTAACCGTGAATATATCCACGACTTTGAACTTTGTCTATGACTGATTGACTGTAATCCAAACGGCAGTCTTTACACAAACCGGTCACGATTTAAACTCGTCTTCGGCGTGTGTGCAGACACGATAAGATATATTAATAGACTATTTAAATTAAAAAATAAACTATACATGTAATTCTGGGGCGAAAAAAAT